CCCAACCCTCATCACCCCACATTCTCCTCCCATCTCGCTTGCCAGTCTCAATGATCTCCTCCAGAAACCATCCTCCCCAACCCTCATCTCCTCACCCCACAGTCTCCTCCCATCTCACTTGCCGGTCTCAACAAACCCCTCCCAGCAACCCTGCTCCCCACTCCGCCCCCTCCCCCATCCATTCTGATCCCGCCTCATCTCACTTGCTAGGCCACCTCTGGCGGCAAACTCCCACTCCGTCTCGGTGGGCACCCTCCATCCATGCCAGTCACAGTAGGCCCTGGCGTCCCGCAGGCTGACGTGAACAACAGGATGGTTCAACCGGCCTTCGATGGTCGAGTCTGTCCCTTCTGGCTACGCAGGATCATTTCAAAAGACAAGCAAACTTCATCTTTTTTGTAAGACATACCTTGCAATCAAGCCATTATCAATTGAAACATTGATTCACTTAGTGTTCTGCGGTAATATTCAACTTTGTTTCAGGAATAAAATTCAACGATGCAGAGAGATGGCGGAGTTGACAGTAAGAAAACGCTTGTGACCTTTCAGGACAGACACGACAGAACGTCTTCCAAAAAAAGACTGCCATCATGTGCATCTTGTAATTTGGTTTTATTTTCTGTACACAGAGCTGAAACCTACTTGATGACACATCTGAGGATCCACTATTTGGGGATCGATAAATCCCAGTTGTTCACAATCTGTTTGACGGTAACTTTAACTCCACAAAACTCCAACCTGAAGCAAGCACTTGACCTTCCTGTCCCAACAATCTTCTGTCCAGACCCTCCCCACCCCATTAACCTAACCCCCAACACTATGACTCACCCTTTCCTGTACCCCTATCTAATCATTCTGTTCAACCATCCCATCCACTAACCCCCCACCTCCTACACCCCCTATATCCATTGCCCAACCCCCTACTAAGAGTGTTGGCCAAACAGCTGACTGGATTACTTACCATTCTCCAATAGGCTCTATCAACTGGTACCCACCAAGGCGCCCCCTGGAAAGAAAAAAACAATTGACAGAAAATGTAACATTTTGTTACAGCATTGGAGAGTCTTAGCTCTCCCCCTTTTTGGTTTAGATGCAAAGTCAACACGGTTGAAAAGGATTGACAAACTTGAGATTATCCAATTGTAGGAATTGATCCAGGGCCACATGACAAGTCTTGACGAGGAGAACAGAGAGCAGCCCACAATACCAATCTGTGGCAAGACTGGAGACGGGCCAAATACCAAAATGAACTCATTTCTTCCCCACCTGCTTCCTTTTCTCTGCCCACCTCCTTTGTTTCTTTTCTGTTTGTTTCCTTCTTAGTGGAATTTTCAACATGTTGTGCTTAACAACATATCCAATACTTCTTAAATGCAATGTTTGAAACCTGTTTAATGGGTAAAACGGGAAAGAGTCAAGAAAATAAAACCACCAACGGAAAATTACACTATGGTAAAGAAAAACAATTCTTTAAACAGCTACCAATTCCATTTTTTTTCCCAAAATTTCTGGATGAGAAATGTTTTTTACCTGTCCATAAGCATTACTTCTATCTTTATTAAGCATTTTTTTAAAATAAATGTCTGAATTGCGTAGAACAACTGAATCCAATGCCCATCGCATTTAACAAACCAATTCTACCTTTATTCTGTCTTTTGCTGCTTTGCTGACCTTCTCCGGCACGAACATCTCCAAAACGAAGCTCCAGCCAAACTGTTCAGCCTCCGTCTTGTACTTCTTGGCCCTCACAAATTTTCTGAGTGTCAATTCAAACCACAAGTGTCGACAAAAATCAGTTCAGGAAGGCCTAAACTAGATGTATCTAAGTGAAATGTTGTACAAGGCACACGCCTCAGCATTAATTCAAGACTAAGCAAAAGCCAGTTTACTGCAAGGGGGCGTGGCTTCAAGGGCCAAAAAGGGGGCTGCGAAGGACACTAAGCCTTTTGCGAGTTAAATTTGAATAAAATCTGGTGCACTGAGTTATCTGACTGCACATGAACATAACAATTTGAATTCCTCAGACTAAAGTCACTGTTGCTATCATGATTCAGGGCAGCCTTTCGCATAGCGACCATCATCTCTGGAATGGACTGGTTCCTTGGCACCCCTCTTATCCATTGAAAACAGTGTATTGGTGCAAGGCGTCTCTTATGTAACTAAGAAAAAGCTTGCCCCGAATCACGAGGTATACCGGTAGCTACAGTTTCTTTAGTATGGAGAATTGAGAACTGTTTTGTTTACGTGAATTTAAACAGTTTAAAGAACTCGGTGTACCAGATTTTATTTCAAATTCAACTCGCCAAAAGGCTTATTCACAATGCACATTTGCTGAGCCCTAACCATGCTGAACCCAACAATATCCAACAGTTTTGTCAATATGAGCGGTGGATAAAAAAGCCTTTTTGCTCTAGCTGTTGAATTCTGTCAGGTTCAGCAGGCTTTAAGCTCTCACAGCTGTTGGATGTAATTGGATTCATCAGGGCGACAGCACTATTAGGGTAAGGGGTTTGGGTTAATGAAGTCATTGAAGTGTAGACCAAAGCACTGCCCCCTCGCACGGGCATGAGCAGGTCCATGGATTTCCCTGCACTCCGCGATTCGTGGTACCTGAAGGAGGCGATGGTCACCGGATACTTGCTGATCTTGAACGACTTGACCATCTCAAGGCGGGAGGGCGCCTCCCCGTCCTTTGCATCCTTTGCGTCGGTTCCCATGGTGAACTGTTGGCCCTCGATGAAGACCATCTCCTCATATTGGTCGACCTCAGCATCTGAAATAGGAAATGCCTCCGGACTGACCTTTGCAAATCATGGATCGCATTCAAAGCCATTTCTACAAGTCCACCAGAAGTCAGTGTTCGTTAATTCCATCACAGTGGGCTTAAATTTAACACTTTGTCACGCAGAGGAAGAATTTCCAAGTGCACTTTGGCTCTACATATTCTGTAAGCCAATCCTTAGATTTTGTTAACTTTAGCCCAAGCCTAGAGATGCAAGAATTTCCAAAGGTAATCAAGAACTTCTGCTGTCATGAGCATTGGGGCTAGAGTTACTCGTGTTAGCAGTCTAATTAGTTCTGGCATGGTGGTCAAAGTATATCTAGAGCACTAACTTTTCCTCATAGTTCTGGAAAGACTACAGAAGTCTTCAAAGCGTATCTGTTGGGTGGGATCAGTCGATCAGCTAGATAGCATGATGGTAACATTGTGCCATCAGTCAGTCCTGTATGAAATCTCCAACTTTACTTCCCGATTTTTCAAAGCAATTTTCCACAATGAAAGGAAAGTGATTGGCTGATCATGGTGACAATCAGGCACAATGAGCAACAGATTTGCAAGCAAAGACCAAGTGACCTCGCAGACTGACTGATCACGTCCAACATATCAATCCCAGAATTTGCAGAAAGAGTTCCACGAACAGACAACACTAAGTTTCCCACGACATGTCCTAAAACGTGAAATTAGGCTCAGAAAAACCCTAGGCATTTACTTAGAAAACAATTGGGTTGTTTCAAACGAGTCTCGGACATCGGTTTGTGCACAGGGAATCAAGTGTTGTCCGTCAACAGAACTCTTTCCTCAACCAACATGTCCGATTCGTATTAATTAACGTTTCCCTTCATGAGCTGTCTACATCCTCTATATCCCACCATAAAAATAACAATGCCGACGGTCATGACGGCGGCACAGATTGTCTTGGCCACATACTTACCCGCTGGAACATCCTCTTTCAGGGTTGCTTCTGACCCCCAAATCATGCACAAAACTGAGAACGAATAAAGCAAGAACTTCGCTCGTATATGCATTTTTCATTAAAGCTTTGACCGACGTGTACTTGTGTTTAACAACTCAGAAATACAAGTACATGTGTGTATATATATATAAGAAGGAAGAGTCCGGAATCGCGGCCACCGCACCGACACACAAATGCATGACACAGCACACATGCACAGGCACCTCGCCGCGGTTTGTTTATGTACACGTAGGCTTAGTTCAGGCCGCACAAACTGCGCTGCACACAACCTGCACATGGCCTTTTGCTCGTTGCATGGGGAGCGAGAGCGCCCCCACACACGCTGCATCTAGTGGGCGTTTTGGTACAGTGGATGTTTGGCTCTCAAAAAGTGGGGGGGGGGAGCAAGCGCTTTTCGGCTTACACTAGCATCACGTTAGAATGAAACGAGTATACGAGTTACGAGAAAAGTCTTTTTACAAGAATTTGAAGTTATATGGTAGAATAACGCGATCACGTTTTGGGCTGGGTGCATAAGGCAATTCCAAGATAACCTTAGGCCTATCGTGCTTGCTGCCAACACTATGACGGTACGCCTCCCTAGCCTTGCGTGTTCACAAACCCTCCGGAAGGTGTTAGCGCAGTGTCAAGGCACGAGCAGAAGAATATTATGCCATATATACCCGAATCGCTTGATGCTTTTATACAAGACTCCGAGTGTATACCGTAAGCCACCGCCACCAATATCGGTTTGCACGCAGGTCCGATCGTGCTTTTCACGGGAGGAGGGGACATTGTGAGTATGGCATTTATCGTCCACGACGATCACGGTGCCCGTAAACTGCAGGTCCAATGTCAGTTAATGACACAATTAATCTGGAGTGCCAGTGTATTATTTAGAAGGTTCCCACATTTATCCTACTCGTTAGAACTGAAATGTTTGTCTCTAGGCTAATTTAATTACAGTGGCGTAGCCAAAGGGGAAGGGCAATTAATTGTGGGAAATATCCCTCCCCAACCCCGAAAGAATTTAATTTTTTGAGGGGGGCTGGAAGTTGTCGCCACGCTAAGCACGTGGTGTGTCAATATATGTAAAGTGGTGATAAACCTTTTAACAAGGTTCATGAAAGAGCCGTACGTAGCCAAGGGGGGCAAGTACCTCCCATGGGACACCCCCCCTCCGCCCCCACTCCCAACCCCTCTGGGAGGAGTTGGCTACACTACTGGAAAGTGTGACGTGTATGACGATGAAATTACCCTCTGAGCAAAGGACAGTGACGCAAATACTTAGATACACGGGATGACCGTGACCCTTGAAGTGCCAAGGGACCCCCCCCCCCCCGTTTCCCCCAAAGTCATCCCCCGATTCGCATTTAGAAAAGAAAATTTTATGTCTGAGTCGTGAAAAAAAAACAGATGTGTGCCCCTTCTAGAAACTCACTGGACCCCAAAATCCCATCCCCTACCGCGCTTGCATGAATACATGAATATGCATTCACTATTTTGAATACCGCTGCTTGGAACACAAAGGCTATAATCAAATATACTGCTATATAAAGTATACAAAAAGGCGTCAAAAGGAAATTAGGATTCCATCAACTGGGCAATTATTTTTCCTTGAAAAAAATGAATGTCTGGGAGGACGGGAGCCGAGCGGCCGGGTCTGACGAGCCCCAATGTTAAAGTGTCTCAGGCTGCTTCTAAATTATTTTTCCATTTTTTTTTTCACTGAAATGACGCACACTAGCGCTGTGTAGTCACAACACTCTTATTAAGCAACACGATCACACTTTCACACTGGCTTTTCGTGTTATGGAGGTTGGTAATTGGCGAAGTTTTCGGTGACATCAAAGCGGTAAACGAACGAGAAGAAAATAACACACTCTGTCCTGCACGGTGCGATTGATATTAGGCTTCTTGTTCCTCGCAAGTGGGGCATCTTCAGGCAATAAAATGCTACACGTACAGACTCGCACGAGCCCAAGAAACTCCAATATTGAACCTGTCAGTTTGTCTCAATGCAATGGAAATGCTGCATTGAAGGTGTTTAGCTCAATTCCCTTTTGAGTTGCAATATTTTTGACGTTTCATTTTCGTTTTAACCTCTGAGCTCGTGTCACGGACTACAAGGCTTACCTGCAAAATGGCAATAATAAACTTACATTCAAAACCGAAAACTCTGTCTTCTGTTAAAGTACTGCTTGCTTTGTACACCTCGGTGTACAATATATATGATTTTTAAACAAAATGCAACAATATGAATCACTCAGCAAAGCGACAAATCACAAACTTCCGGGGAAAAGGTGACCTTTTTGCACACTCACTGTCGTGCATACAACTAATACGAGATAAACAACTAATCTCGGGTAAATAATTTTCAAAGTGGCTGATGATATGAGGAGATTCTTTTGTGACAGGATCCCTCAGTTTATAATCAGTTCGAGTAAAATTTCCCCCGCCCTCGGGGAATAACTTGCTCCTCAGTACACAGAGAGATATATCAGCAGCTCAATACAAATAACTGCCAGTTAGTTTACTGTTTTCATGTTTTGCTATGTTTGTTAGTTTGCTTTCATTACTGTTTGCAAAACTTTTTCCAGTAATTGTTTGTTTATTAATTTTGTTGCTCAAAAAACTTCACTCAGAAAAGGTCATGTTCCCGCACATGAAACGTTTGAACAAAAAAACGAGGCCGGAACTTCACCTATCCGATTTATATTCTGTTCGTCTTTGGTGAGAAGAGCAGGATGTAAGCTTTCTTGGAGGAGAGGTATCAGCTACAAAACAAAACAAACATCGGCGACGTGCACGTGGTTAGGTTCTATGAGCAGGGGGCTCAGGCAAGCAGCCTGCCGTACTTACGCGCCTACGGCCGGGGAAAGCATACGCTGACGAGCTGACAGCGACACATACGATACACGGTACGCACGGCCAATCGCAGCCTCATGGAGGCCAACGTATAAAGGCCTAACCACCCTTTTCACATAAACTTCTCCAATCGGGCCATAGTAATGAAGTCCAATTAAAACCCACCGTACCCCCCCCCCGTTTCATTTTCCCTGCCAATGGATAGCCAAGAGGTTAAGAGATATAATCCCTGGGGCTGGAATCCGACCCTAAATGGGTTCATTCCATACAGGCAACATATCGGCTTTCCACTCGTCGGAATTAGGCCTGTGGAGACCGTACAGTTTTGAATACGTGATATCAGAATATGGAAGTTACTTGAAAAGCGGTTTCTTGTTTGTACGGATGTTCAACATTTTGTGATCTTCAAACAAATAACAACATTATCCGTGATCCATTCTATCGTGCCCCGTCCCCCTAAAATTGTCCAGGGGTGTTCTGAGGGGCACAGGTTCATGATGAAACCCAAGGAACCTTATAGTTAAGCTGAGTCAGTCGCAAAAATCTGCATATCAAAGTTGCAACGGTCATTATCCCTATAAAAGATTAAGCAATCAGATGATAAGATTAACATAATACGGAATCTACATATACATGTATCTTGTAAACAAAATCTCGCTCAGTAAACTGGAAGATTTAGTACGAGTGGTGCCTGTTTTCCTCAAAGAAAGGCAATGCAGAGCAAAAGCGGAATACTTTAAACGTTTCACTGTATGGGCTCCGAGCTGGACCAAGAGAGGGCGAAATTTTCTTAACAACGGAGGCTCTATTGGTCAAACGGCACTTCGCTGGTTCACAAACGACTATGAGACACATGCTTTGCGGTTGCGTCGCTATCAGCAAAATGAACACCCCCGACCTAGACTGGTCCCTGTCCTTGTTATAGGAACCGGTTGCTGGCTGTAGTTTAACGTATGCGATTGGTCCTGTCAGTTTGGAGGCTGATTATTTAACTTTTTGTCAAGCCAATAGCAATGCTTTAATATGAATCACGTACGTTCCAGCAGTAAGGGAAATAATACACAACTATCTATCCTTGTTCCTCTATTGATCACAGTGAGGTAATTTTTTTTCAATGAATATCATCGACAAATTATTTTACGGCAACGTATTTCAAATCAGTGGTTATTTTGTTAAATTTTAGATAAATAAACAATTTATGGTGAAGCCTTTTTTGGTAACAAAGACAAAAAGGCCAAAATATTCCATCAGCTCCTGCTTCGTTTCGTCTTGGACATTGAACCGGCAGGATTCCTCCGGTTTCATTGCCCGCTACTGGTTCTTACGTTCGGAGGACGTCTGTCAGACGTTTGGAGACTACGTGAGGGACGGGAACCTGTCTAACTACCGACCAACATGGCTCTTTTGGACCGAAGAGGGGGTGCTTCTGCTCAAGGAGGATAGTCCATGGGGTAGATATTTAAGATTACAGACTGATGCTTCAGAAGATAATGGGAAAGGTCTGGAAAGTAAGTACGATGGATGTCGTGTTAAAGTACTGACTGAAGAAAAATACACGTTTAACATAATTTGGGCTTAATGTAATCAGATTATGAAACTTGAATGCCACAGTGCATTATACAAAATGACACAGCATTAATGACAGTTACATGACGCTGCTAGTCGGTAGTCTTGACTTGAGACGCCGGCTTGTAAAGAGAATATACGAGCATATCTTCTCTTCTTTGAGTTTTGTAGGCCTATTTGTCACAGAACAACCGCTACTACCATGTTAAGTTGAGCGCTCCGATGCTCCATTAGGCGCGCTTTGCAAACAATCGCTTCTTTTGCGACCGGGCCCCCAAGTACCATTACAATGAAGGCTGGACTCGCAATATTTCACAATGGGTTTTGGCCCCGATGTTCAACATCCGGTCCCGCTCGCGGCGTGCTCGCATATACTTCACCCAGACTCCCTCCCCCCGGCCACAAGTCAGGAGTAATAATCAATCAGCAGACCAAAAATAAGAAAAAGAAAACCGACAAATTAGCAATTATCCTGAGTGCTTCTTTAATGGAGTAAAGATTGCTCAAGACGAATCAGGCTGAGACCGGGGGAAGATATGACGTAGCGGTCCCGCCACGGGCGCGCGTTTTAATGGATGGAAACGGTAACGGCATCAGCAAATAAGGCTGGCCTCCATCGGTGCTTAACAGTGTCGGTTGCTTCGTTCATCCCCGATTACAAATGGTAATCACTGTTTCGAGAGAATACACGTTAAAGTAGCCGCACCGTTAAATAGCTCCTTCTGGTTGAATAAAAGCCGAAACAGAAATATTGTCCCTCGTACCAACGTTTGTGATAGGTTTTGACACTTCTCATTTTCTTAAAAAATTAAAAGACAAAAGCAACCAAAAAATTCATACCGA